ATCATCGGTAAGTGAGGTTACTGTTGTTTCTGTAATTTTAGGTCGTTTGCTGCCCTTTAAATTGCTAATGTGGCTCCAGGGAGGCTGGAGGCAGCGATCTGCGTTTCTGCTGGTGCAAATGAGATGAAAATGTGAGGTCTATCTTCTGCTTGGAAATATACTGAGCTGCAGGTTGTCTCTCTCAGTGCGGTGGAGAGTGAGTGCTCCTCCTGCACCTTGGTAACAGAGAGCAGCCACAAACACCGTGCTTTCTGCTTTACAGGAGTCCCCTAACTTGAGTTGTTTGGTTTTTTTGGGGTTTTTTTCTGACCTTCCTTCCCCCAGTCGGCTTCTCTGGTCAGACTCTGCCAGCAGAAAGGCTTGAAGGAGCAGTTCCTTGCTGCAGATCACCAATGCCTGTCAGGTCACTGGCACCTGTAGGTATTTATTTATAACTGTGCCTGCCTGCAGGAAACAGATAAGATTACAGGTATTTCCCGGTATGACTGCAACTGCCTTTGCACAAGATTTACTTGGAAAAGAAAAGGTGGGTTTTTTTAGCTGAGTTAGCTACCCTGAAGCTTGTAACCACTGTACAAACATAACACAGTGTGTTTGTACCCCTGGGTTTGGGTGTGGTCAGAAACACCGGTGTCAGGTGTGCATTGTTAACACCCAGCCAGGATGAATCACCCGTGGAGAACCTGTAATTCCCACTTGATTATCCAGGACAAAAGATCATGCAAAACAGGCTTTTGGAACACATTAATTAGGTGCTCCCGTGAAAACCCAGGCGGCCCCCCGGCAGTGCCTGTGTTCCACCCCCAGCTGCTGGAGGAGCTTTGGAGTGACATGAGCTTCACCTGCAGCCGCTGTGTCGCCTGCCCTGAGCTACCTGATCCTGTTTTTGTGTGCTTCTGCAGGAGTGGCGGGGGCTGGGAGGCTCTTCTCCCACGAGGTGATCAAAGCCATGGCTGCCATCAACGATCGACCCATCATATTCGCGCTGAGCAACCCCACGGTGAAGGCTGAGTGCACGGCAGAGGAGGCATACACGTTAACAGAGGTGTGTGATGGCTGATAGCACTGTTTGCTCGCTGCCAGGAGGAGGGTTGGTTCATTAGTGCTTGGACTTGGTGGTGTAGGAACACAGATCTTCCTTCGCCTCCTGGCGAAAGTAAACAGAGATGGTTTGAAAAGAGGCCCCGATCCTTCAGATATTTTGCAAGGCTTGAAACAGCCTGAATCTTTTTACTGCCTTTTAAGAGAGTGACCAGCAGGTACTGTAATGTCTGAGTAGAGTCCTTAAAGCGGGTGGTGTCCTTGCATCAGCCCAGGAGTTCAGCCATGCAGGTCAGAACTTGGGCCATTCACAGTGACCCCCGGGGCAGGTGGTGGCCTCTGTCCCCTCTCACAGCATCTGTGCCTTGTGCACTGGCACCACCACACGTTGAAGTGAGCCAGCCAAGCACAAACACACCTCGTTCTGCACCTCTACCTCAAAGCCACTGCACCTGGGGGGCTTGGAGGTTGAGGTTTTGGGGTGGTTTTTTTTCTTAGTAACTGTGTTGTTATCTTAACAGCACATCCAGACCTTGGGTTTGCCTTTAAAGAGGAAGGTGCACAGCTTTTGCACAGCTTTTGTGTAAAACTAATCATCTCTGAAGGGAGCCTGAGGGGAAGGATGTGGGGGCATGGGAGCATGGGGCAGACAGAGCACTGGCTGTAAGGCTTTGAACTGGCTGGTGGTGCCTTTCCTTTGCACTGCAGGCTGCAGCTGGCTGTGATCCTTCCTCAGGCCACAGGGCCTGCCTGCAGACTTCAGGGCTGGGGCTCTT